AAAGAAAACTGTGCTTAATAGGCTTTATCTCCTAAAAGCCCAGTGGTAAAAAAAACAAATTGTCTGTGCACCCACAGATCGCGTCCCTCACTCTGCTGGTGCAGCTGTCCCACTACCTCTCCCTGTCTTGGTGTTCAACTATTTAACATGGGGCCGCATGAACACAAACCTGTGACGAGTCTCCTGGACGCAGGAAACTCATGAGAGATGAGACGACATGCTGTGAGCACATGTCTCGTTCCCCTTTGCCCTAACTCCTTTTCACTGAGGAACTAATAATGTTTTTAATTTGAAAAAATGCGTATTCATCAAGTATAAGTAATTAGGATGTCTGCTGTGTGGTCACCTTCCGTGTTCATGTTTCAATACATGTCTTGTCATAATTTTATTTTATTAAATATCGAAATAAATAGTTTTCAATTTGTAGCATCATTTCAAGACATTCTGAATTAATTGTTTGAGCATCTCTGAACGAGGTCAATTAAAAAGGGACAAACATGAGTTGTCCACGTGACTAAATTAGTCGAATCATATTAAATATATCGTTTCATCTAAGTTATGTTTCATTAGATTTCTAAAACCTCCGATGACCATGTGTGACAGCTGATCACGTGACCGAATTGTGAAATACATTTGTCTCATCCAGCTGTGTCATGGTGAGAGCACCATGTATGCGTGCAGTCCTGGCACATTGCGCCACCGCTACATTTGTAAAAGCAGAAGGAAAACGTGTGATATTCAGCTCAAGTGATTTGCTTTTCAACACAACCTGACATGTGATTAGCGTCATTATCTTAGCGGGTCTTGTGCTGTCATAAGGAGAGTCTGAAAACTGCAGCAAAGGACCCAGTCCAGTCTGCAACCTGACATTTCCCCTGCATTTAAATTTCTGTTCAAAAATCTAGGAAAGAACAGTTTTCATCAGGGAGAATCTAGGCTTGACCAAAAGAACAACTCTTTATGGGTAAAAATGTTCATAAAGATACTATATTTACACACTGAATGCTGAAATGACAAAGAATCATCTGTAATTCAGATGAAAGATTCCATATTTAATCTGAAAATAATGAAAAAGAATTTGAAACATCAGGAACCAGGTTCATAGTTAGAGTGGGATGATTTCAAATCCACGGAGAAAAGAAAAATGTCTGGAATGGGCTACATTCATGTCTAAAGTCGTGATCATGACGATTTGTGTGGACAAATCAGACAAATCAGGACCTGTAGACCTCATGGGTCAAAAGGAGGGGGGGAGAGGATCACTGCAGACCCCTCACACCCTGGACACAATCTGTTTGAACTCCTCCCCTCTGGACGGCGTTACAGGTCACTGTGCACCAAGACAACCAGGCACAGGGACAGTTTCTTCCCCCAGGCTGTCACTCTGATGAACACTTAACCCACGACAGTATGACTGGACAATAACCCTCAGTGCAATACCTGTAAATATACATTGTATAGATTATACCAGGTCATACAGGTCTCTAGTTTTAAGGACTCTGTTTTATTCCTATTTATCTCATTTCACAATGAGCATTCCTTTGTCTGTCTGCATTGTTTACTGCCTGTTTATACTGCTTGTTTTGCATTGTTTGCACTGTTTGTTGCT